CGGGGCCGGCTTCCTCGCGTAGCATAACAATCCCCAATGAAAACATGACTAATAAAAACAACAACAACAACAACAAAAATAACAATAATAGCAATGTCGATTAAAACGGCACGAAGCGCAGCACCACACACCATTGCCACGATTGGATCAATGATATCGTTTTACTTTTCGCGATAGGCTCGGATGACAAGTCGCGTACATATATATATCTTTTGCTAGCATACGCTCGTTCCAGCGCGCCGCCTCGACGCTGCACAACACTGCTTTTTGAGCTCTGTGTTGCGTCTGTGCCCATATTATACATATGTGCGAATCCGAGGTGTGTGCCAGCGTACAAGTGCACTATACAACGAGTGGCGATCCATCCACGCAATCAATTATAAATGCAACTAAACGATGATACGATGATAATATATGAAGCATTATTGCTCGATCGAATCGTTCGTTATAACGTGCCCTCCCTTTTGCATTCGTTCTCGACGATTTTCGAGACATGACTACCCTTTCGATGCTTAGGGATTAATGCTTTTTTTTTTCAATACCTAGAGGGTTGTATAGCATTATAAGAAGAAATTTAAAAAATTTTTAATTTAAAAATTTTACACGAATTTAAATAAATTCTCGACCCATTTTTTTGAGCATTCGAAGGTTTTTGATAATTTGTCTCTCTTTTTTTATTTGTATGAAACAATAAGGAGTCAATTGATTGAAAATTCATTTGTTCAATCATGAGCCGTGTACATATATTTTAAGAAAAATTTCGACTTTTAGATTTCAGATGATTCCGAGTCGAAATATCATGTCTACAAAAAAAAAAGATTGTCCGTAAAAGCAGCTGTAAAATCGTCAATTTTTAATATTTTGAGCTGAAATTTTGTTTGCAGCTTCTTCGAACGATAAACATTATTGTGACTAAGTTTCAAAGCAATCGCCCTTTTATTTTTTGGGATAAAATTGAAAAGAAAAATTTATTTTTCCAAAGCCTTATATAGCATTGGCTTACGAAACGAGTATAAATCGGCACCGTTTGTCCTTTGGGCTTCTGAAAAAATAGTCCAGTACATGACACAGCTAGGCGCCAAGCTGTCTACGGATAGCGTATCGAATAACTGCCATGAATTTTGGACGTCTCATTGGAAATTACTGTGTACATGTGGAACTTCGCTGCTTCGACGGACATTTCCTCGATAATGTTAACTTAAAAGTTATGCGCATAGGTCTTATGACACTATATATATTTAATGGCTATTGATTTTCGTGTAATCGGATAATTTAATTGTGACAAATCAACATCATCTGCTTTTTGTGCTTCAAATATCATATACATTGTCTGCGAGAAGGCCAGAAATTAGACCTTTACACAGGGGTTCATGTTAAAACAGTGCTAGCCAATGGTCAGGAATGTATTTGGACCGCGTATGCAAAGCATTAGCCTTTGGATTCCAGTGATAAATGTAAATTCTTAAAAATTTTTGGTTCACCCGAGCCATGATACAGTTACAGTCGAAGATTTCAAGTAGAGAGGAGTAGGAGACTGGAGACTGGGTGTGCAGCACTCGGAACTCGGAAGTAGAAATCGTTTGGGAAAAACCCCGCGGCCCAAAGACAATGCGGATGGTAACTTGGGTTTTACCAACTTCCGAATCTTTTGATTGTTCTAATTTTGTAAGATGCAAATGAGACTCACTCTCGATATACCTTTAGGCATTCTTAACAAGTTTAAGATTGTTGTTCGGTACTCAATTCTCGGAAACCGTTCATTCATCTCCAAAATTGTATAATTTTTTTCACATCTTCTATGGATGCAGTGAACGAAGTGCACTATCAGTTCAATCATACAGACGGCATCTTGACGAAGAGTGTAAGTTTTTTTCCACCTCTGGTTACTCGAACAGGGTAACTCTACACCCCCACATTGACGTTCAATATAATTCTCACGCGATGACCCCGGATCATATATGGAAAAAATTAACCGGACAATGTTCAATTTGATTGAAATTAGAGTTCCGCTTTACAGGCATAAATCAGAATACCAAAAGGTGCCACGCAGCTATCATCCTTTTTTCCTTCGATGCATTTGTATGGGTATAGCAGTACAGTACAACACACTCAAACGCTAGCATGGCTACGGCGCGTTCACTAAAATGGATGGGCGTGGCTAAGCGAGATAGTGCCCCCACCAAGCTCAGCGGCGAGAGGAACGCCTGGATTGGTCCAGGCATTTTAATAGAAACTCTGTGACTCTCTCTTTCTATCTCTTTCTATCTTTATCTCTCTCTCTCTCTTCAGCGGCATCCCACGCAGCTCGTCTCAACGCCGTTTACGATATTCACGGGAGCTCACCTGAATTAATTGAAATAACGGCCGGGTAAGAATCTTATCACGAGTGTTTGGAGTGTTTTAGGGATTGTTTTTATTTTGAAAGTTTATTGTAATAGGCTCGTAGACTGGTTCATGATTTTAGTAAACTTAGTTTTTAAATTAACCTTGATGCAAGGGCCGAAACATTGATAATTTTTTAGTTTATTAGTTTAATTTGTTAATCATAAATAATTTTCTAGTCTCTTTGATATTTGTCAGTGTTATATGTCAATTCGATTAATTGTTATATATTAAATGGATTTATTATTATATAATTAATCCAGCTATGATTAAAATTTGTAAAATGAATCTTACATTTTTATTTATTGTTCATTAAATTTTGCATTAATATTTATGTTAGGTTTTGTTAGATAAAATTCATGTAAATACTATTAACCAGCGCTTTTTAAAGTAATATTGTTCAAGTTGGCTTTTTTTGTTATTTCCGTTATGGTCAAATAATTTATATGAAAAATAAATAGATATATTAAAATATTAATGATGATTAAATAAATGCTATTTTAAATAATACATAGATCTTCAATCATTCTCTATTTAACCACTTAGCACATGTGTAACAACGTTGCCACTAGTATTATACTCTATTATTTGGAGCGCTTATTTATTGAAAAATTTTATTTAAAATACCTACTCGAGAAAGATATATCTATAGCCAAAAACAGGTTTCGTTTATCCTTTGTTTCTTTCCTGCTACTTTTATAGTTTAAAAAATCTCTTCAAATTTGAACTGCTGCTGACATCTTACTTTTGACAATTCAAGATTATAAAAAATTCAGTCGTACCCTCATATACATAATCTCACGGAGGAAACATCGAGACGTAAACATCGGAAGCTCCAATCGCGATAAAAAATTCGGGTCAAATCAACTAGTTGTAGCCCACTAATCTCCCAGGAGATCAAAAATATTTATAAATATCACTATGGAACGACGCTCGGAGTTTCGATTTTATTTTTTTATTTTTGAGGAAATACTTTTCTGGATTATGCTTCGATATCTATCTGAACGATAATTGAGGCTTTTACACGGACGAGCGCCCCTCGCCAATTCACAGTAGCTAGCTTTGAATCTCCTGCTGAAATAATCTTTCGAAGAGCGCAGCGCTGTTGTACACCTGTCGCTTATTATTGATCCTCGCCTTCCGATACGTTACGTAACTCAGGACTCGCGTGTATGTATAACTATCGAAACATCGCCTAGCTGCCGTTGGTCTTTTAAAAATCTTATCTCGCAATTCACACCTAATTCGTATTGTTGTAAATATTTAATAACTCGTATATGCGTTTACGGTATATAAAATTATCTTTCTTTTCGGACGTAGCTCTTCGTTCGTTAAACTCTCGACGGCCAATAAAAACGACTCATATATACGCGACGATTGTTTTCAATCCCGCTCTCGAGCTTGGCAATCATATCGCGCGAGCTTTTCGTGTATGCATCGCGTAGAAAGGAGTGAGCGAGATAGAGAGAAGGCGCGAATACAAACACCGGAAATTCTACGCATCGATAATGTAAGCTGCGCGACACGACTCGCGGACGATCGCGGCAGGCAACAATAATAATTACTTTTTCCTTCCTTCTATCTCGGCCTGGTCGCCCGGCACATATCGATTGCTAATATGTATTTTTTATTTACCTGTGCGTGCATCTCCGTATCAATAGGTCATGCTCGAACGAGATGACAAAATCGACTGGCCCTGTGCTTATCGCGACCCAGACTTTAAATAGTCTCTGGCCAATCTATATCATATTTCCCCGAGGGTACGCGACTCTGAATTTTATCCGGATACATGAACCCGGATAGTCTAGTGTGAAAACTAGATGTAATTTCATGCGACAAAAGAAAAATTGATACGCTGCAACAAGTGCAATGTTGTTTCGGGTGTCTCGAAAATTTAAAATTCCGGTTGTTATGAGATACAATAAGCTGCGCCAAGACGGGGTCGAAAATCGACAAGTGAATCGTCAGTTTCGTAAACACTATCAATCTTTTTTGCACTTTGGGCTTGCTACATCGCGAAGATAGCTAGATAGGGCGCCGAAAAATATTCGCTCGGGGGGGAGTAGGCGGTGGTGGCGGGGCGTAGAAGGAGAGGGTTCCCCGTGCACGCGTGCATTCGGTATGCGCCGAGGTGGATGAAGAGGCACCGCCTCGTGACCAATGACAAAAGGGGAGGCGCCTGCGTCACGAGCGCCGAGGGGTGTTTAAAGATTTCCGTGCACTATCTGCGCATCGCTCGCTTGATATCGCGGGTAGCAATCCGGGCCTCGCGTGCATAAAAATTTGCACACCGACGTACATCAAAATGCATACATATACGATGATATTAAACATTAAAAGCTGGGCATATGCCGCATTGGATCTCTTGCACACAGAGAAGAGCTCATAATGATCATGACCACATGTAAAGCATAGCGAGTTCGGAGTTCGGGATGGATCCCAGTACACATACATACATCATTGTAAAGACTAACCCAATAGAAATGCTGCGTTTGTGTGCGTTACTCTCCCACTCCACGTCTCTTATTCCCGTCCCACTCCTCGCGTTCTGGAGCCCCGCCGCTTGCCAAGCTCTGCATCTACGATACTTGACTCCTGCAAGTAGTCCTCGGTTTCAGTTGAGTAGTTTCATCCGATCTGGAAAGACCGACGTATTTTGTGTCTCTCGAATTAAGATTTGTAACGATAGCCTGTAGATCGAGTACCGGCTTGGGCACTGGCCCAGTTCCGATTTCATAATAAATAATCAGGTGTACGGGCACTGCCGTGTTTATTAAATAATGTGCCAGCGGTGTATCGGCGCTCTTGTGTGATCGACAAATTTTGTAAATAATCGACGCGCGACGACCCGCGTGTGTGTATATCGTGCGAAGTTTACTTGTGTCGCGCTCAACGCGCAGCGTACATTTAGTACGCGTCGAGTGCTGATCGTGTGTGTGTGTATGCGAGTGATGCTGAGAGGTCCGACGCAGCTCGAGAGCTAAACGTCGTCGTCGTCGTTGCTGTAATCGTCCTCGTCCTTGCACAGGGACGTTCCACGCGGCTCCATCATGAAGGAAACGAACAATCACCACAGACAGGCAAAGCCTCACCACCATCCCTACGAACTCGTGCACGAGTACGCGGCGATACAAGCGACGCAAGCGGCGCAAGCAGCCGCCGCTGCGGCGGTAGGCATGTCGGCCGACCCTTACAGTGCCGTGCTGCAAGCTTCGATGCAGTCGTCGCATACCGTCGTCAATCCGCACTTCTTCTCCACCAGTCCTCATCTCCCAGTCTATCATCATTCTCATCCCCATCCCCATCCCCATGCCCATACACACCATCATCATAGCACCAGCAGCGGCGGCGGCGTCATCTACCCGTCGCTCTCTCCGCCGCTTCAATCCTTGCAGCAGCTGCAGCAGCAGCACCAACAGCAGCAGCTGCAACAGCAACAGCAACAGCAACAGCAGCACTTCCCGACGGTCTTGCCCCTGTTGTCGTCGTCGCCGTCGTCGTCCTCGCCACCCGCGATAACGACTAGCCCGGTGAATTCGACGTCCCCCTCCTTCACAACCGCCACCCTGTCGGTGCGACGCAACATTCAGGACTTCCAAAGCCAGCAGCAGCAGCAGCAGCAGCAGCAGCAGCCGCAGCAGCAGCAGCCGCAGCTGCTGCCGAAAATTCAGCCACCGCAAGCACAGCAACAGCACACAACACAGCAGCAATTGCCGCCAAGTATCATTCCCGAGGAAGTCTTAGTGCCCAAATTGAACCGTCGCAACCAGCAGCTTCCGTTGTTTCGGCCGGAGCAGCAGCAGCAGCAACAGCTTCTGCTTTTAGCCCAGCAGCAGCAACAACAAATACAACAACAACAACAACAACAACAACAACAACAACAGCAGCAACCCCCGCCGGCGCCGAGCGAACAGAACAGTCCGGACTCGACCGACTTCGCGGCCAACATCAATAACAACAGTAGCAACGACAATAGCAACAATAATGGCAATTTCAACCACAATAACAATAACACAATCAACAACAACAACAACATTAACAACGGTCGAGCTTGTCCCTTGAACCACATCAACAACAATAACAATCACAGAACCAACAACAACAATATCAGAAGAAACAACAACAACAACAACAACATCGAGGATGGGCCTGCGCACATCCGTCACTCGGAATCCGCCGAACAGTTGTCCGACACCGCCATCGCGGGTACGCATCTCCTGCAGACCATGTCGCCGACGATGCATAATATGAATCAGTTCACCTTGGACCAGGTGGACTGCATCTGCGAGGCGCTCATAGTCAATAAGAATTACGAAAAGCTTAGCAAGTACGTATATTATCTCATTATTCACCATTCAATTCTTTATATAGTATTTTTATATTATATATTACAACTGCATAACAGTACAACTACGTAACAGATCTTGACGGTTGTTGCATATATATAGCATCGAAACTCCGGCGCGTTGACAAAACGAAAAAGGGAAAGAGCTGCGTCAAAAAAAGAAAGAAAGAAAAAATAGCGAGCAAGAATGAAAAATTTCGTAGAAATCGTTAAATCGCCTCGTATAATACGCTTCGGAGCGCGCGCCCAACGTGCTAAACACGAGCGCGTGCTGCAGGAGCCATGGCCGCGCACGCCTTACGTTAAATCGCGCGATGCAGATCCCTCCGCCGCTACACCGCTAGCGCTCGGCTATATAAATATGCTCGACGTAGACTTTTTTTTTGATGTTCTTTTAGATAAAAAATAATTTCTCGGAACGATCTCGCACCCGTTATACATACGCACAATCACCCGTATTAATGCTAAATATCGCCTTTCGATGTGTGACTCATTCACGGTGCACGAGCGCGTATAGATATTTACTTTATATTTTTTTTATTTTTACTTGAGGCCCTCGTAAAGCACGCGACGAAATTAATGTGTACGAAAAAGAATTGACCGAGACTCTTTGTGACTCTTTGTGGAATTGACCACGAGAAGCTTTATTAGGGCAGATTGTAAAATTTTTCGTTATCGCTCCTTTTCGAGTTGGCTAAAATTTAATTACGCGAAAGAAAAATCAACGACCCGAGCCATCTCGAGGAAAAAGGGCCGAACAAAACTCGAGCCGATGGAACGAGTCACGGCAGTACCAACTTATTTTATTGTTATTTTTTGCTTTCCTACAGATTTATGGCCGGGTTGGTGGAGACCAGGTCACCGAGCGAGTGGCGACTGGTCGCCGAAGCGACGGTCGCCTACCATCGACACGACTGGCGCGAGGTCTATCGCATTCTAGAGTCGCGCAACTTCTCGATGCATCATCATCCCCGATTGCAGACGTTGTGGTTCAAGTCGCACTACCAAGAGCAGGCCAAGGCCCGCGACAGGAGCCTGGGGGCCGTCGACAAGTACAGGCTGCGCAAAAAGTATCCCCTGCCAAAGACCATCTGGGACGGCGAGGAGGTGGTGTACTGCTTCAAGGAGAGGGCGCGCAACGCGCTACGCGACATGTATATCAAGAACAAGTATCCGAATCCCGCCGAGAAGAAGATGCTGGCCAAGAAGACGGGCTTGACCCTCACGCAGGTCTCCAATTGGTTCAAAAACCGGAGACAGCGCGATCGCACGCCTCAGCAGAGAAAGTAAGTGAACTTATCTTAATCCCTTATCCAATAAATAATAATTATATTTCACTTGATTTCAACGTTCGTTTCATAATTATATCATTGGAACTATATATAGGTTGACGGGTATAGAATTTAGGTCCTTCTGATTATTTAAAGGTAAAAAAGTAGATGGTGTTTTTAGTTTTTGTTTTCTTTTTTGTTTTTTTTTTGTTATGTGTCGTGCTGCTGCTGTTATATATTGTCCCTTGCGTGTTGCTTTGTGCTTACCGTTCCTCTCTCTCTCTCCCTCTCTCTCTCTTTCACCTCTCGTTCTCGCAAGTTTTCTGTTTTTTTTTCATTTCAGTCTTTCGATATGCGCGAGACGTACACGTTAAATGGCGCGAGACCCAAAGTTGTTATGGCTACGAGTTAGTCTGGCACGAAAGTCGATGGTCAGCCGAGAGGGAGTTACGCACAGGCCGACAAGCTGGCAGATATATCCAAGCTAGTCGCGAAAAAATTTACCGATTAACGCATTTCAAAAACGCATAGGTTCATCGATGAATAAGACCTATGCTATCTTGCATTTATATTCGAGTAAATCTAGACGAACTGTTTCGCTCTTTTTTTTCGACTTTATCGTTTTCTTTTTGCTTTCCTATACTTGCTAGCTTGCTTCGGACTGTGTCCTCGCTTAATTGAGATGTAATGGTTGAATTTTACGCATTAAAAATACGCACACTCGACTTGGATTAAGAATACATAATACGAAATATACGAAAGCAGAAAAAGCACAATCGAGCACTGCATACAACATAGCGTGAAGCAGCAGCAAAATTCTGAATAGCTCACACAAGTCTCCCTGAGACGAAGCTGAGCTGCGCCGAGTCACACTTCTCTCTCTCTCTCTCTCTCTTTTGCTCTTTCTCGCTTCGGTTTATACACATTCAGAATGTGTTTAGGCAGAAAATCGAGTAGTTGAAAAGCCTAGCGTAATCCTCGAAAGGGATTAGTCCTCGACAATTGCGCAAACATAAACGGACCAAATCCTATTTATCCTCTCTCTCTCTCTCTCTCTTTCTAGTTTTTGCTGCACGCGCAAAACCTTCGTGTACGTATAAAACGAGAGGGGATGTAAAATGCGCACACACACACACACACATGTACATATTTTTCGAAACATCATTATTACATGTACACAACGTCTGCGTATTATAAGAGATTGAATAAGACCAGATCTGAGCCAAAAAAAAGTACACGCCCCTTGTTCGCACGCGACCGCTTGCAATGTCTACTATTTTCTACTATCCTTATTACATGAGTATTTTCATTTGGAGTGTAAATCACTCGAGATTACTATGGAGTGCTATCGATTATTAAGGCTATTAGCAATCACTTGAAGCACATTAGTAGTGCGATTAATAAGTTTTACTAAAATGTATGGCGAATTTATTTTTTAAATAAAATAAAAATAATCTATTAACTTTAGAGTATGTGATCTAAGAATTTTAAATTTTCGAAAATTTTTGTGGATCTTCTTATACAATAATTTACATAAAGTTTATATTTCATTTATGAGAAGCATCTTTGCGAACTCCATACAGCCCACACTTATACGAATCGAATCATATATGTAACAATCGTTAAAAGCTGTGTCCTCGTACAAACGTCTCTGCACGATGTAAGAGCAAAATAAGAAAGAAAGAAAGGAACGCACATTTATACGCCCCCGTGCAAATGAAAAGAGAGAGAGAGAGAGAGAGAGTAATGCGCGGAGTGTGAGCAAGTAAGAGAAAAAGAGAGTGAAAGGAAAAAATAAAAGAAGGTATAATACACATCGATGCTTGCGCACGGCACTCGTATATATAGGTATATATAGATGACGAACGTGCAAAAGGAGAAAAAAGCGCGAGGCTTGCCTAGAGTCGGTCTTTGTGTTGTCGAGTTCCTTCCGTACACACCACGAGCACATTTTTATATACACAACGCGATATAGGAGGCGGTTCTTGGCGCGCAACTCCAAGCAGCGGAGAATCGAGTTTGACGCAAAATTTTGTCCTTCTGCGCCCGCGTGCTCGTTATAAATGATATTTGTTGGGGAACGAGCGATACCCATTCTTCTTGAGACTTGTGTTATGCTTGCGACATTAGAGACATGAGTGAAATTTAAATTATAAATGCAATAATATATAACAATATATATTTTTTAAATTGTGTTTATTCTATTTCTTGTGATAAATAAATCTTTAAATGAAGGGGTTAATGTAAAAAGTAAAGAAATTAATATTTACAATAGGTCATTCGAGCTCGTGCATTCTTAAAATTGTTTTATTATTTTAAATTTCGATCCAACATGTGTAATGCACTTGTGTCGATAGAATCAAATCTCGCATTAAAAAACGTCAATCAGATACATTTTCGTCTTCCTAGAAAATGACTTCATACTATTGCCTTAGTGTCCGAGCGTGGACCAGCTTCGAGCTGTGAAAACCCCCACTCTTTGTTCTTAGTTCAGTAGTCTCTCAACTCTCAATAATGGTCATGCACTTCAAAAAGTGATTAATTAAAATTTAATCGTCTTTAAATACCATAAACATGAGGTCAGCGTGTGTTTGATTGATGAAGCAGGTGCCAAAAGATTTTGACCACTAATAACCCCACGAGTTACATATTGGAGTGTTATTTTTGTTGCGAGAACAATGAAACAATCATATCTAATTCTTATATGTATAGTAGACCATATATTATATGCTACATAGTAGATTCTATTTATTACATAATAGACAGTTATATGGGCGACTTTAAACCCCAAGTAAATACTGTCACAATCCACTGTTCTGAATTAGTTGAAGCGATTAATAATATACGAATGACTTTTTCCAGCAATGGCAGCCCACATCAGCGAACCTCGCCGCCGTCAGCAGCGCTGCAGCTCCAACAGCTACATCATCAGTTAACCAACGAGCAGAATCAATTGCACCGACATCAGCACGATCAACAGCAGCACGCGCTACTCTTGCAGCATCAGCAGCAGCAGCAGCAGCAGCAACAGCAGCAGCTACAGCAGCATCAGCAGCAGCAACAGCTGCAACAACAGCAACAGATACCAGAAATCCCTAGTCACGTGTTACAGCGGCACATCGGCACATTGGACTCGAGCTACTCGTCGGTGACCTTAACGCCGATGAACTTGCAGTCGGGGCCGGCCGTGCCTACGAGCAGTCCGATGGCGTTGCTGCAGCATAACCACTCGCCGACGTACCACATGCCGTACTCGGCGAGCCCGATGATGCCGGAGCAACAGTCGCCGGCCGAAATCGGCGGCAGCATCAGCCCGAACGAGCCGCTGGACGTCAAGCCCTTCTCCTCGGCCGAGGAGGAGGATACCGTCGCATTGGCATCGCGCGGGGCGACCGTCCCGACCTATGAAAGTGAGTACGATGCAAGCGCTAGCGATAAGTCCGATGGTACATGCGCCGACAATGAGTTCTCGCTTTTTGGTAGCAATAGTTTCATGACGCACCATAGCGATGACTACCTGTATGTTATTGATAGCCCTTTAGGTGATTGCTATCAACACTTGAATCCTAACTGGAGTAAGGATCCCGAAATTATTACTCACGTGACAGATTTCTTAGCTAACAGACAGTCTCCTTATTGGCCGCCTTCGGGTACTGACTATTATGATCTTAACAGTAAATCATTGGGCTCTCTCAAAACGGAACTTGATTAGAGCCCTTTAGAGCTCCTTTTAGTATGGATAAGACCTACTCGACTGCTACTGATACAAAAAACTCAACTGCTACTAGTGACTTTATGAGTAATTTCGACGCACTGATTTTCGCAGTTGTTACTTATGGTACTGACTCTAGCCTTTCGAGTAATTCAAGTTCAAGTCCAAAGGACAGTACCCGGATTACGACTAACACTAACAATAACAATTCAAGTACTAATCGGACAAATGATGCCAATTTGACTGCTAATAATAACTAGACGGACGTACGGACGGTGTACATTTATTACTAAGAACGTGAGTAGAATCCGCTTGATATAAGCTCGCTCATCATGATCGGTCGCTTAATGTAATCAAAACACACAATCACGGTTTTACCTGAATAAGTTGTGCTTATTTGAATTATCTAGTTTTTGTAATCAAACTGCCTTTTAGTCCTGTTTTGATTGCATTGAGCGAACTCCATTGTACATTCATCAATCATGAACGACCGCGCAGCCCTTTGATAATGTCTATTACACATGTAATACACAGTCGAATTCGCTTGATGTGATCTCTTGGACCGAACGTTTCGGTTCAAATAGCCGGTTGATTTTTTTAAATAAAGCAATTTTTGTTTGTTTTTTGTATTCTTAATAATTTTTAGAGTACAGTGTCCGAATGTAGGATACATTTCTTTGTCCTTTTCTCGTGAAATAAGTCACTTCTGCGTTATGTTGAGTGAACTTTTCAAGTAAATCAAACTGTTTTAATGGTTTTTTATTTTTAATAAACTTGTTTCGCGGCATTAAAAAATTTAAATTTTATACTCGAGCTCGCTACGGTGATATTCCAATAACGTTTGATTCTAACAATCGGATTTGTTTTAACATGTAAAAGCATAGGAAGAAATCGCGACAGTGTGCTTTGTTTACATTAAATGGATGATACAATAAAGAGTTACAATTGAGCGGATTCTATACTAATAATATATAATAAACTAAGCAGTCGCACGCGACCAATGTGCAATTTTTGGGGCCCTCTATTACAGAGTCCAAGTGCTATTATGACTCCAAGATTATAGTCGTGCGTGGCGCCCCCCACGTGGGGTATAATATTCTACGTATCGGGCCGCTCGTTAGCCGACGCGTGTCCCTGATTATGTATATTACGCGTAGACAGCACCAAAGGACTGCGCGCGATATTTGTACTACAAAGTAGCTCTTGCATTTAAATTAGCCTCTTTATTGTATCTTCACGAATTCAAACATACTAAAACCCTTGTTTTTTTTTTCGTCTACAGAAAAGGACCTGAGCCACATCTACTACACGCCTCACGCCAACGTGGGCCATCAGTATTACAACGCGGCAGCGGTTGCTGCCCATCCTTATCACCACCACCAGCATCATGCTACGGTCATGCTGCAGAGTCAGCACGTCAGCAATTCCGCCAATCACCATCAGTCTCAGCAGCATGCTCACTTGGGACACATGGGTACAGGAAACTACGACGACGGCTTGGCGCACCAGCAGCAGCCGCCCTCGCTCTGACTGAATTATCAGCATCATCCCTAGTGCGCCGCGCGCCACTAGGCCGATACGACTGCATTTAATTCAGTCATGCGGTGCGAGATTTTTTCATTTTCTAATCTTTTTTTCTTTTTTAAAAAAAAGAAAATTAAGATTGGTTGTTGAAGATGAACAGAAAAGATATTTAAAATGTTTATGCATCGTTGCATAAGAAAATTTTAGACAAATCAATGATGATTGATATCTTATCAAGATATATTGCTTTTACATAAGCAAAACTGTAATAAATGGAGGTGGGGTAATAAATTGGCAGAATGTATATAGTCAATATAACGAGCAAAATTAAATTTTCCGGAGTGTAATAATTAATTCTGTCATCTACCAGAATTAATGACACATATAATGTGACTCCGGTATGAAATCAAACGATATAACTTTTAGCTAATCTCAAAGTCTTCGGAGTAGAAATTAGGTTTTTTTCTGTAAATAAGCGATATTCTGCATCGGCTACTTCTAAAATAAAACCTAGATTTAGTAAAAAAAGATTGAGAATAAAAAAGTGTATTATACGTTGTAAAGTTAAATGATGAAGTGATGTAAGCTGCAGATGTAGATGAAATGTGACGGTCTCTAAAATATTAATGTGAATCAAGAAATGTGACAGACTCTTAGGTGTTAATGTAAATGGTGAAGTGTAAATAATTACAGATAAGGAATATTATTAAGTGCAAATAATATACATTGAACATTCCAGTGGTTTTCAGGTAAAAGCTCCTTAAGAATTTAATTTTGAGAGTAACAATGGTAAAGTCATTGCTTGCCTTGATTAAGTTCTTTTCGAGACGCTAAAACGAAACATTATGTGTTGAGATAGTGTTTAGTCGATTTTATAACAAGCTATGTTACCTTGATGTTATGTAAATTTAACGCAGTCGTCTTAAATGCTCACTTGTAACCATTAATTTTGTTTTACCATAAAAAATACCGAGACGCGCTAGAGTGGTTTCGGCGAGAACTTGGTAATTCACAAACAAATACTCGACGGTAAATGTTATATGATTTTCAAAATTGCGACTAGCGAGGTATGAATCACATCGCTCGGCATGAAATCGTGGAACGATATGATTGTACCCTGCCCTGTGGCAGGTCGGTAAAACAGTGCTGCATTTTATTAGCCGTAGTTTTAGCCCAAGGTATTACCATAGCTTTTACATGCCAAGTCAAGCATGGATCACTTTGTATCCTTTTCACTAATGAATTACTGTAAGGTTAAATTTTTAAGTCCTCGACTGTCAAAGTGTAATAGAAAAATTAGGCATCCATGAAAGCGTACAAGATTAAATGATGCGTTATAAATAAAAAAAATAAAATAAATAATCTCTATCATTATTTACGAATGTATAGAAAATATATCTTGTCTTTTTATTTATTTACTTATAAATTATCATCTAAACTAATAAACCTCATTTTCAAAAATTTAAATGAGCAAGTAAATTAAGCTTTACCAAAGAAGAAAGCGGGACATCTTACAATAATTTAATGAAGCAGCAAAACTTTCTCTTTTTAATCTTTAAAGAACAAAAAATTACCCTGGATTCTTTATTCTCAAGAGAACAAGGGAAAAGCGATGTACCTGTACTGCGCTTTTTTGCCTTTAGGGCTTTTCGTTTTTAAAATGTCATCATCATCGTTTGAGCTTTTCGCAATATTTCTATAGTGTATAAGAAAAGAAACTTGTGCATTAAACATAAACTCACTAACGGTAGCTCTTACCGCGGTATGTCTTCTTGACTCTGATAATTATTCAGCAAAAGGGAACAATTAAAAAAGATACTTAAATTAAAATAATAACGCCTCATCGATGCCACTTTGTTCGAAAAAGATGAATGGTAAAATGCTTCCAGTCCAGTTTTTAAACTTAGCTTTATTCAATCGAATATAATATAAGCATGTACAATGTGGTAATCTCCTGGTTCGCGTTCATGATATGTATAAACTGATAAACGAAAAGTCTACGGCTAAACATTTTTAGGCAGCTAGCTTATCAGTCACATAAACTTAAAGAAAAACCAAACGATCAATGTTATCACTCTACTATGATTATCAAACTATCGAGTTCCCATTTAAAAACACAATCTCAACTTTTTTTTATATATTGTCCTTTTTGTATGTATACATACACCATTGCCTTTTCGAATCTATAAATACCCTCTTTTAATTTTAACAATCTTTTCCAGCTAAAACTTTCTATGGTAAAACTTTTCAAATATATCGCTAAATGCGGTTGCACGAGTTTCATAAATTTTTTTTAGTACATGACTTAATGTATGATACATAATGATATACTGTATTGTAACTATGTAATATGCAACGAATCTTATTTTTTAGCTGTATAATATTTATATGTATTTTTAGTAATTATTAGACTCACAATTATCTTTTCACATTGAAAAAATATATTATATAGATTTCAGGGGTTGGGGTACATTTTTCATAAAATTTTTTTTATAAATTTTCTTTTTATAATGACATTTTTTATAATGTACGTTTTTTATAATCTTTTTTTTTATAATCCATTTTTTATAAACCCAAATTTTATAATCTTATAATGGTACTAATATATTTCAAGTATGACATAACATCGTCATTTTCAACGCCCCATTACAACTCTCAGTCGGTCATGCAACCCTTCACTGACGTTGTTTGTCCGCGCTTTTTGCTGCACAAAGCTGGCTCATAACGTGCGAGTATGCGTCGTTTCGTTTTGCCTCGAGATATTGACCCACTCACATAAGTTTTCTCAAACCGGACACAACCTTGCTGGACACAACCTTGATTGCTTCAACTGCGTCAACATCAGGAATACATATGTGGTCACAGCTCGGGCACAACACTGAGAGGTCTTTTTACAAAGCCAGTACGCTCGTTTTCCTATAGTTCCGCCGTTTTTATAATACAGAAAACCTTCTAAGGATAGATGATAACTGGAACCTCGGGATTTTACCAACTCGGCCATGTTATTTATTAAAACCGTTACTTTGTTGCCAGTCGAAGAAGCTATGATGTATAGTTATTAAATTCTGTTCACAAATCTGATCAGATCAGCTCTGCTGTATATATACATATGTTGACAAATAAGTCGATGAGCTCGGTGTATACATACGTGTAAATTTATATTTATAAATTTATAATTTATTATAAATAAATATTATTATAAAAATAGATATTATAAAAAATGGATTATAAAAATTTGAATTTATAAAAAAAAGAATTATAAAAAAAATTTTATAAAAAATGTCCCCCCACCATTTCAGGTTTGAGTAATTCAAATGACGCTTTAAATAATTGGCTCTGGTCGGCAATGGTTTTGTGCCAACGAGTTATTTATTGGATGCTATTTAACATAAGCAATAAATTTGCTAATGTGCTAATGCATTTTTTAAGGTATGAATGATATGTTATATGAACGACCGTAGTAAATGATGAGATTATGAACAACTCCATGTAAATGGAAAAGAATACAAGCTAATTCACATCAACTAGAACATATGCTTACATTTTTTGCTACGTATCGCAATGCACTTTACACCACAGAATGATGACTTATATTAAAATTTAAGAGAAGATCGAATTTATGAAGAGGGCTGTTGATTTACATTTGGTACAATCTAATTTTTTTCGATGAAATTCATTTGTACTGACTTTCATCCAGTACTTTTTTCATTCACTAGATTTTGAATATTTAATTTTTTTAATTCAAAACAATAATTCATAATCATTTGAGAATCATCCATACAAGTTTTTTTTGAAAAAAACGTGTAATTTGATATATTTCAGCTCAATTGTTGGTATTATTTAGTTATAAGGTAATGAAAATTGAAACATGAATAATTAAACAGTCTCGATTTGTAGTTATTTTATAGCATTTACTCAACTTATACGTATATTTACATATAATAGTATGATTTTACAGAAACAAAAACGTTAGATTATGTTATGTTTTCGACTAGAAAAAAATTCTCACATACTAATATTTTCGAAAACATACTAGTTTAATTAGTACAAATTATAATTAATACATGTTTATGTGCTTTACTTTCCAAATATTACAAAGCTTAATTTTATGAACGTTTTTTAAACGTATTTATAAAAACAATCGCTCTATTTGTTTATTCAAAACAAAAGTGCACAATGGAAATAATCACACAAATGCTTCACTCATACGCGTCAAACAACAATACGGATCGTATTTTTTTATAATTAAAATACCTTACAACATTTTCAATACTTTACAGATATATAATATGAAAATTCGACCAAGTTACCCACATATGTTAAGTATTATTTCAATACGAATTACATAATGATACAATGTATAAAAATAATAATAACAATAACATTTTAATAATCAACTTCATTATTTTTAGTATCATAACAATTAGTGCGCAAAAAAAACAGACATTTCCGTAATTTCAAATTTATTTGTTTCTATTGATGATAAAAAGAAATAACGTGTCGCCACGTTTGGGAACGAATCAGTTACGATGGTCTGTTTTGATTTCGTTCGGTAATATTAGTTAGTTATATTATTTGCGAAGCAAACGAAGAATAATTGTCATGGGAACGTATTGAAACTACGGCAGAGCGACAAATATACATTAGACGAACAGTACCAAAGGAGTAACAAAATCTCGCTCACGTTGCGACTACGTTCAAATGCAAACATACGAATACACACATCCGCACACTTATACACAAGCACATTCAAAAGGTACGTATAACGACGATTTTTCGTATTCTTTCTTTTTTTTCTCATTCCCGCAGGCTCTTCGTTATTTGGCAAATAATACTGTGTCTACGACTAACGAAACGCAAATACACTTTATACATATATATATGTACACAAGGAAGGAAAAAAAGAGACGTAGGCGCTCGAATATACGGCGTTGGCGTCGTAGCTCGGCTTACGTATTCTTTCGATCGTTCTTTTTCTTCCTTCATATTTCCTTCAATTCATCATATAAAAATGAAAGAAAGGAATAAATAAACAAACAGCTCATCATCAGAGTGGCGCAAGCTTTTCGGCATTCCGCGACAGATGGCTCTCGTAAACGGGTATGCATTTGTAGTACTGCTGTGGATAAGCGTTGGTGAATTCGTTCTCGGATGTCGGCAGCCGTGCTCGAAAGCGATTTCGCACGAGATGAGCCATTAGCATGCAGCATAAAAGACCCAATACGCAGATGAGAGTGATCGGCACGACGCCCCAGCCTCGCGACGACGAGGCCGACGATGAAGTGCTGGTGGAATTGCCGCTCGCTTCTCCCTCCTGCATTAAGAAAAGCAAATTAGCGTTTGAAAGTTGTGATTTTAACGTTATTGAGTTGGCTGTGTAAAGCAAAACTAATAGTGACTGCAGAAATATTTTCTTCTCATTAAAATTCATGCATGTAAAATTGAGCTCAATGCAAATACGACATTAATACGTTTTATTTCGTATTTCTTCGCGTTTACTTTTTGAATATTTTTCTCTCTGTATCTATGAAAAAACATGAATATAATTCATGTAAAATATGAAAAATCCATCGTTTCAACCACCTCCGACGCATGCGTATACGGGAGAGAGAGTGAGAGAAAACTCGGAAAGCATTTAAATCTGTAGTGTACGTGCGAATAGGATTTCGAATGGAAATTCATGGGGATGTACACGAGGCTTTTTTTCGTTCAGCTGACGGCCGTGAAAGTATTAGCTAATCCGCCAAGTGATAAGCCAAAAAAAGATTACAGCGCAGCGAGAGCAAACAGCTTAGGCAGAAAAAAACTTTTTCCATCTGTTCAATTATTCATTCGATCGAGAGATGAGAATTTTTAAGAATATTTTTTCTGTCTTTTTTCTTTTTTTTTTAACGACATATATTGTTTGCGAACAGGCGTATATAGGCTATATCTGTAGGGAAAAGTTTGTCAACTGCATTGAAGCTCTTATATGAACGTTACGCCCGAAGAACTTTGTCCATGGCGTTACCCTTGAGTATTAAATTTAGATATATGGCCGATCTCTGTAAAATTATTATTTTTTAATTTATACAATTTTTATCATTTCCAATAAAAAAGTTCTTCAGTAATCATTTTAAAAAACATTAAGGACTGAACTAGAAATGTTTATAATATTAGCATGAATTAAGGAACAACGCCAAATTCGAGCCTAGGAAGAAAGATAAAATGGATGTTCCCCAAAATTCTGATAAAATACGGGGAGAAGTACATGTAGGTCAAAAAAAGTTTTTCATGCAATCGGGAAATAAATATTTTAGCTATTCAATTTTTCATAGAATCGACCATAAGTATAGAAGCAGATGCGCGTCAATCCTTCGATTTATTCAGAAAATGCGCATATTTGAAAAAAAATTTCAAAATTGAATACAAAAAATATTTATAATGTATGGTTTTATATATTCTTCTCAAAATTGTATGAGAGAAAAAATGTTCAAGTCCGAAAATTCGTATGGCAAAGGAAAAAAATGCAATGCATCATAATTTTCAACTCGAACAAACACCGAGTACATAAAGTCGATAAAGAATTATACAAAATAAGAGCCTTACCATGGTTGTTTTAGGAGGACAAATAGGACAGCAGGAGCCGTTAGACGGTGGCATTGGATTTTCACAGTAGTTGATGCACTCCGTGGTGCCTGAGCAACTAATGTGGCCGTTCTGCCTGCACACACACTTGCGACAAGGATCAGGGCTCCAAGTTTCGTCCGGTTTGTAGATCTGCCTACTGTCTGGATCCTGACAGTTCGAGCGACATTTGCAAATCTGTGAAATACGAGTATCATGAGCATGGTGAAAAGAAAAAGAGAAAAAAAAAAGAAAAACAAGCCGAGCGAGTGTAATTATCAAAGGCACTATGCGGGTCTTTAAGCTTGTATCCATACAGTGAGCATGTACATAATAGGAGTAACTTTTATGCGGTGTGGCGCGTCGGATTCGCGCTCAAAGTTCACAATCATATTCAATTACGAGAAATTAGGTCAAGTTGGTTGGCATTGTTGTATGTTCGTTTTGTCGCGCTCACTTTACGCATGTAATTACGCAAAGGTATTAAAATGGAAAATTGAGCGCTGCTTATAATGTTTTATGCAGGTCTTACAAGCGTCGTGATTCTGCCGAAGCTTCATAATAACAATAACAGCTCGTTAGATGTAATAAAAATAATGAGTAGAGCACAAAGAGCTATGCGCACCCGCGCACGGCTGTCTGAATTATCCGGAGAGAATCAAATGAAGCAAAACCAGGAGTGCTCGCAGCAGACTCACCTGGCAGCCCTTGTCGTCGCGTCTGTAGCCTTGCGGGCACTTCTTTGGGCAGGACTCGAGCCTCGGGCACTCCAGTCGGCACGAGCAAGTCGGACAGCCATTTGAATCCAGCAAATTGCCGTACGGGCAAACCGTCTTGGCCTGTAGGCAGTTGGGCTTGGTGCAATTCGCCACTACTGAGCTTTTTGCCGGTGTCTCCGCGTCGAGAACTGTTGGTCCGGCAGAGGCGGCATCTATTGTGTTGGTCGTCTGTTGCTGCTCTTTGTTGCTGCTATTATTGTGCGAAACTTCACCGTTGTCCTTTCCACGAATGAGTAAAAAAATGTAATTCAACTCGTTCTTGGAGAAATGAAATAGAAGAAAGAGCAACTTACGAAACACTTGCAGATCTGACAGCCTTGCTCGTTCACATCGAAAGTCTCGCAACGGAGGTTGCAATCCAAGGGCGGCGCCACCTGGCAATCGATTGGCCTGTCTACGCAGTCCCCGCAGCACTGGTCCTTCCTGGGTGGTAGACGGCGATTGCAGGGCTTGCAATGTGGTATCACGCAGCTCTCCTTGCCATCGAGGCATCGGCACTGCATGCACGGGTCCATCGAGTCGATCCATTCGTCGTTGAAATTATGATGGTTGCCCGATCGGTCCACGCAGTTATCGAGCAACTTGCCCGTCGTAGGTCCGAATTCGTACCTCACGAGCTCTGGACAATTGACAGAAATGTGTCGGGTTACATTGATAATATTAACGAGCTGCGACTGCTAAATATATATCAACGCAATTACGAATTTGTGCCGTTTTCGATTATTCAATTTTTCCGCCCCATCTCGCTCGCGCGAGTATTGCAGCTTCCTCGCACGCGTCACGCTCGATTTCATGCCACCGTAACTGGGTCAGAATGGCATTTAATTTTCGCACTCTGCTTCTGCCCATATATATATATATTATATATGCACGCGTGTTCACAGTGTTTCGTGTGAGGACTGCTGTAGCGAGCTAGATGGGACATTTTAATGTCCCCGCGATGCACAAGCACACACACTTTTAAAAGAGTTATTACCTTGAGCTCGACACTCGTAAAGAGGGCAGCACTTGCCGGGTTGGCTGGAATCACCCGATTTCACCATTAGCGAATGTTGTCCGTCCTCGCATGGCTGGGCCTTCGGGCAGTCCGGGATGCATACGCATTGGCCTGTACTGTCCGTCGTACTGTCGTCGGGGCAGCTGTCCTGGTGGAAACATCTGCCGCTCTCTGTAACGAGAGGAGAAAAAAAAACATTTTAATACGTTTTTTTTCTATTTTAAGGAATTAAGCATTCAGTACTCGGGTCGTATACGAAAAACGTTAGCGAAAAAGAACGCAAGCGTTCGTAAAAGGCGGCGGCTGGCTGGACGTTGACATACACTACTTGAAAATGTAGGAAATTCATCTTTCCGCGCCGTTCTTTTAAAAAATAATATTTCCTCGCAAATTATCATTCGTGAAATTAATTCATATGCTATTGTGAATATTAATTAAAACAAAGTTCCACGTGACATTTTTTTATGCAAATATTCTTTATGCATTACAATAAAAATAAATAAAAGTCATTCATAACATTCTTCTTAATTTTTTGTTTCATTCTTCAAACAGCAAGAGCACAAGTTGGGCGTGATACTGAGGAATTTAATAGAAAAATCAATTACAGTTTTGTTCATATGTAATCTCATTTTCACTCCGTCGTTTAGACAATTCAGTTTCAGCTATAAGTTATAAATTTATGAAATTTGCACGTAATGGACGGAATAGAAACGGAGAATAAAGTTTTACTTCGTATAATTTATTCAACTTCGTGTGAAAGACAAAATAGATAAAAAGAGCAAAAGAAACTATTACAGTTGGTTTTCAGAGTGCATCGTTATTAAACGTGAAATGAAACTGGGGATAGGAAAAGAACAAAGGATTCTTATCTACGAGAGAACGAAAACGCACAAATCCAATCGGATTACTCTTTCAAATGAATTTCTTTTTTTCATAGTTGATCATTTATTCGATTATTTGAGCTATGCAGGTCATTCATATCGTTTATTTCTTCGCAATGATGGAATATATCTGCTTTATTTCAAATTACGTTTGTCAAAGCAGAGACAAAACCAAAATATATCGAATGTTATCGTTTACGCCACATTTCGAAACCACAATAATGGAAAAATGCACAAAAAGGCACATATTTATATACCTTGCGAGGATTTATTCGCAAATACCTGCGGTTGGAGCTAGGCTCCTGGCATATCGGGAACTTTTACCGCTCAACCGTCTCATCTGTCTGTCAATCACAAATTGTTGACAGGCAAAAAAACGAAAAAAAAAGATAAACAAACGTAAAATTCAATCCATTCGACGATTTGGCTAAAGGAAAATAGAAATACAATAATTAAACCTCAGCAGAAAAATGCTGTCTATAATTAGTTAAAGACGTTAATTATTGGAAATTAATTTGGGAGAAGGACAATTAATTTGAGTAAACCAATAGCTTTAGAAAATTCGTAACTCAATTTGATTTCAAAGAAGAATTCATTCGCCGAAATTAGTAAAAATTTATAAGCTTGATTGATCAATTTCGTAAAAGATTTAAATTTGTATTTATTTTTATAGCAAATTTAATGACGTCACCATACGTTATCTATACTATTTCATACACACGATCGTGCGGCTTTTGCATCCGTAAAAAGGTAGGCAGTAGCGGCGCAGCTGGCGTATACTGCACACACAAGTTAGGGACGCGCATCTATGCGTACGTAATCAAAATGTTTTACACGCAGTTCTCGATTCGGCGTCAGGTTGCCTTAACTAGAGGCAACCTTTCAAACTAAAAGCTCGATATCAGTGTCGGGCTTAGCCAGAACTATAGCTCGACCTAGATACAGATCTCTATCTAAAATGTTCAATGCAACTAGTTACATTTACGAGATTTTTGTCCTTTTGTTCCAATTCTTTTGCCTTTTTCTCCGCTTTTCCGAATTTGGCGCGCGCTCCGAAATATCCGAAAGTCCGCGATGAAAAAAGAGTAAGTCGTGGGAAAACTTTGCTCTCGGGGCAACGAATCGAACGAGAGCCGAGTAAACTTATATAGTGCGGTTATAGGGTTCGCGGCGTGCCGGGCCGTGCTTCACTTAATCGCGGAAACCGCCGAGGAGCGAACTGCAGGCTAGCCGCCGCCGTTGCTGCTGCTGCTGCTGCTGCTCAAGCGCGTGAACGTTAACAATTAAAGTGGAAAAAAAGTTTTTTACGACTTTGCTCTCGCTCGCTTGGCTTCGTTTTTGTAAGCGCTCGGCACTCGAAGTAAAATGCGCGCGAGTTTATATATCTGAATGTGCACAACCAGCAGCAGCATCGGTCGATTTAAGCATCCTTGCGATAATAGCTTCTTTTGCCGCTAGCTCAAATAGTTATACAAAGTTGTGTTAATATATTATTGCTTGACTTTGTGTAAACGCGTCGATTTGACATTTCGTTGATTAAATTTAATTCAACCGAGCCATACGTATACTACAAGACGAATTATATCGTAGCCACTCGAGTTTGGCGATATTTCAATGACCAGCTCGAAGGCGACTATATCCTCGGGATTTGGCTCTTTGATTCAAGAGTGTGCATGCATACGTAGAGAAGCAGCAGAAGCATCGCGTCGTCGAACGAGAGACAACAACAGCTGCTGTGATGCCATTGTCCATATACGCGCCTCGGTTAGCTGCACTATCTACCTGGATGATATAAGCATTCCCGGCCGTCAAGACTTTGTAAATGGGATTTTGGTCGGTTTGGAATATGTAATTAAGACGCGCGTGGACACTGGAGCGGCGGCAGCTTCTGCTTCTGTGTCCTATATGCTTCATGCTCGTAGAGACAGAGAGAGCACCGCCAAGATAATTACACCTACGTTTCGAGTTAATCCGAGGTGCTACTGCGCTGCTGCTGCTGCTGGCACAAGCATCGTTTCGCCTCGACGGGGAGCGTAAGAGTGGAGTTCCATCCAAATGTTATCAGTGTTCCCTCTTGCCAACTTCACTTACTCTCTGTCTCTCTCTCTCCTCTTCTATTTCTCTCTCCATCTACATTTACGCATTGAGCGCGTTCAGAAGCTCTTAGCACACGAGAGCGTGGATTTTCGAATTTCGTCTTGATAATGCACAAACTGTCCCGCCATTAGCTTTAATTACACCAAACTTTCGAGCAGCAGATCATAGCCTTATTGTGCAGTTGTTCTCCACTTTCGCGCTCGAGCTTCTGTTGCTGTTGCTGCTTCCTACGCCAGCACTAAGCTACGCGAAGAGTCAATTTTCAATACGCTCACTCGAGCGTAAGGGGCTTAATTTTCCTAGTACCGAGTAATATATAATCGAGATTTTCGACAACTAAAGCTTTGTCGTGTCGGCGCTAAAACTTGACGTCTTTCAAATGCCAATCTTTCAACCTCTACGTTGGCCTCAACTTATACATCAAATGCGTTGTGAAAAGCTATCGGGTAATCTCCTGATATAATAATAAAATGCAACACATATAAAAGGATTGAATTCATAAATTTCAGGTTATTATCGTATATATACGCGCATTTCCATTTCTTTTTATAGATATCGTCACGGCGCTTATTTTTAAAATAAAATTCAACGTTCGATGCGCACAACGCAAAGAGTATAGCGCTCAAATTCTCGATTCGCTCGGACAAATAAACGTTGACAGTTGTAACAATTTATATATTATGATTATGCAGCACACACGTACTTTACGCAATCGTCAACGAGCATGACCCGATCGATCCCAGGCATCAATAATAACAGAGTAGTTTATACGTTACAAACAAAATAAATAAATAAAAGACACGAGAACGAGATGTGGCGCGCACATGACTTCGCGATGGCGAAACATGAAATGCAACAATTAATTCTCCGAAGTCGATTGTGTGCAGCACAACACATACACACGAGCGAAGGCGCGTACAGAAGCGATGATTTTATCGAGCTGTATATTGGCCTCGATTATAAGCATCGACATCCGCATTTGCAAACGTATAAAAGTTTTTTATTTTGTTGTGTTTTTGTTCACCCCAGAGTAGCTCGTAACTTCGCGTCGGCGCGTTGTAATTGTATAATGGTCTTTGGAAATGCCGGGGCGTGATTCTTTTCCCCGAACACATCAGCGAGTGAATTTCATGCGAGGCAAACGAGTGAGAAAAAACTTTCGCACCTATATACACGCACGCGATGGAACGAATTCGATTCTCTTGATCCCCTATATATATGCGTATACGTATGTGTATAATGCACACGTGTGTGCGTGTGTTATATATGCGTCTACTGCACACTCGAATTGTACATGCATGGGGGTGAGGTAGAGTGCGAAAGCTCGGCCTGCATGCAGCACTGCGCGCCTAGCTCTCGGGGTACGCGTTCGTACGACCAATTTAATCGGATTTCGGAGCTAACGCCTCGCGCTCTAGCTGCTCTATAGCTAATGCTTATTTTATTTTATTCAATTCTTATCGAGATTTCATGTTTTACGATTTCGCTCGCTGCTGCTCGATGTCTGTGCATAATGTAACGCGCGCGCGAGCAGCGAAGAAATTAATTGAAGGATTTTTTTCACGCCGCTAGTACGCTATACTGCCAAACGATCCGAGAGAGAGCCGTAGAGCGAGGAACTTTCAACGCATAGTGAGAGATTCGTCGAGCGGAAATTATTCTCGAGTTATGATTGCGCGCGCGCGCGACACGAACAATGCCCTTTTTGCCATTTTGCACGGGGCGCGCGATTTAACGAGGATATCTCCTTTTTATTCTTCGCAGCGAAATGGCTCGACAGCAGCAGCGACTTCATTGGAAAACGATTTTTTTTTGGTACATCGAACCGATACTGCCGAAAAAAGACCACATCGCTCGCTTATTTCCACTCAAAGAAATTTGAAATCCTGCAGACACACGTGTAGCACTTTGCTCTTTATATTATTCTCGTTCCGCCAGGTATATAATCGGGGTCGCGGAAGCTGCGAAACGCAACGGTACGAAAAATTGAACGAGTTAGCTGGGGTGGTGAAAAATTCGTATAATCTCGTACGCAGCGAGTAGTAGTAGTAGCAAAGTGCGCGTATATTATATAAACAAGAATTGCAAACTCAAACTGTGTGCAAGCAGTTGAATCACACTGACGATTAAGAAGTAGCAGCAGCAGCAGTTCGCGCAGAGTGTGGCAACAACCTCGGGGATCTTTCATCAAGA